TGACCGGCAACGGATCGCAACCCTCAGTGTCGCACCTGTACTGGACCGGGACCGGCAACGGGATCGCAACCCTCGGTGCTGCGTCCACACCTTGCTCAGCCAGCGAGCGGGAACCGGTCTGTATGTGGGATCCGAACCCTCGGCAGGAGCGCCGCCGCGCTTCCCAAGTGGCGCACTGTAGCAGTGTGCCACCGGGCCGGCCCTACCTCCACTTTAATAATACTGAATGTTATTTAGCATTAGAATGTTTATGTCATGCAGGAGCGCCGCCGCGCTTCCCAAGCGGCGCACTGTAGCAGTGTGCCACCGGGCCGGCCCTACCTCCACTTTAATAATACTAAATGTTATTTAGCATTAGAATGTTTATGTCACATGTTTTATATTGTTTCATTTTAACCAGGCAGGAAAATTTTATGTAACCAGTTATAGTTTATTTTTTGTATGAATTTTAAGCTACAATGTTTAGGTTTTGATAACTCCTTACTCTTGCTATCTTAAGTTTATTACTATGTTTAATGGTATACTGGCCAAGATATTTAGCATGTAAAAAGCAGGGTTTTGACTTTTTAACAAAAAAATCAAAACAGCTTTTTATTGAAGCTGAGATTTAGCATAAACAGGTTGAGTGGCAAGCCTGGTATGCTGTGTCTTGTTACATATAACTGTTGCCAGGATTTTTGTAAATATAATGTTTTAAATGCTAAAAAATAAAAAAAATACATATCTAATGAAAAAATGTGTAATGAGCTTCCATTTCTCAGGAAAGTTGAGGATAACCATGTAACCAGACAAAATGTTTATCAACATTCATCAGCCACCATGGGGTGACCATATGAAAACCAGAATACACAGACTTCTGAAAAAACATCACATCTATTTCAGAATTAGGAGATGTGTTGAAAAGATTGCACCCCAAGAAGCTGTTGTAACATATACGGTAGCAGAAGGTACTTTTTTATATTCCTCTGTAAAGCATGACTTTTAGATAAAATGATCTTTCTTCTAATGTAATTTCACTCATATATAAATTCATACTCAAAAAGAAAATAGTAATTTCACTCATATAAAAAGTAAAACAATAGCATCAATGTTTTCCCTCCATTAATAGAAGAACTTACAATAAAATCTGATTCTTTAAAATCAGTTAATTCCAAAATGGTTTGATTTTTTTTTTCCAATCCAAGTAATAGAATCAAACTGAAGCTTTAGGAGTTCATTTTGTTGAAAGTGAAACATCTGACACTATTTTGAATGCAATTGTAAATTCAGTTAATAACTCAATGTTGAAGATATTATTTGTGGTGATAATACAAACACAAATTTTGGTGAAACATGGCATGATGTTAAAATTAAGTAACTTAAGTAATCTATGAAGCAAAAATCTACTTATAATTGGTTGTTCACACTCAATCCATAATTGTGTCCAAAAACGCTGTGATCTTCCAATTGAAATAACTATTTTTGTATGTTCCCTTCCTTCCTCTCCCTCCTGCACACGTTGATCCCAAGGACATTCCTTAAGCAACACATTACTCAATCAACTCTATCTCCGAGTCTGTTTCCAGAGGAGACAGACCCATAAAACCAACCCAACCCAACCATAAAAATACAACTTTGAATAAGATTGCAGGCAATTTTATAAAGATGTTCAAAATGATACGGTCAGATTGAATAATACATTTGTCAGAAAAATTCAGTGTCTTCTTTGCTGTACATATTGGTTTGTTTTTTAGAAAGAATTTTTTAGAATAGTTTTTGAATAAAAGTGTTATAGGTCCACTGGTATGATAAAATCAATCTGTCAATTAATAAATAAAATTTTTTTTAAGTTTATAATTTAATTATATTTAGTGGCCTTTCTCATTGTAAATATGCNGGGACAGCGGGCCCCGCACTCGTGGCTGGTGGGGTGGGGTGGCCGGGGACCGTCGGACGCCAGCCCACCAGGCGAGGCGTTTAGAAGAGGGTCGTTCCTCTCCGGAAAGACCCCTGGACCCGGGGCTCTGGGCGAAGCCGCCCCTCCAGGGACCTTGGTTACAGGCCGTGGTGAGGTGTTGGGGGTTCGGTTCCCTCTTCTCAGTCTCAGAGCTGAGAGCAGCTGTGGAGACGCACGGCTTCCGCTCCTGATGGAGAATTGGCAGCGTGCTTTCCAACGGCGAGTGTGTCTCAGTCTCTCCTGCGACTTCCAGAAGGCTGCGTTAGCCTTAGGGTCCCTCACATGCCCCTTAGGGCTCCAAACTGTGTGACCTCAACCCATGCCGCCTCTCGAGTCTCATCCCCCAGACTGTTCAGGCCCAGCATCATCTGGATGTGCTGCTCTCAGCCGCTTCCTCTTCTGCGCCGGGACTTTGAGCAGAGGTCGCCCGAGGGGCCTCTCCTGTCTCCTGCCTGCATAGCACTGTGGATAAGAGTGCACGGCCTGGATTCAGATCCCAGCCCTGCCCTTTGTCCTTGGCCACGGTATCTGGTTTTGTTATGACAGGGCCTCATTTACAGCATGGGGATAAAAATAACCTCCTAGGGCTTTTGTGAGGATTTAAATGAGTTTGTATTTATTAAGGTGCTTAGAACACTGCTTAGCACATAGTAAATTCTATATGTGCCTGCTATTATCATTTCCATCATAGCAGATCACTGTATAAAGTCGTATCATTTATTTGGTAACTAAGCTTTATGAAGCCGCAGCTTTAATTCAGGTCACCCCCGTATCTTCAGTGCCTAGGACAGCACTTGGGGAAGTGAGAAAAAGAATCAAGCGGCAGGCTGCAGGAGGAAGAATGGGCGCACATGTGAGATTTTTAAATTACTGATTTAAAAATTTTTAAATTCATTTGCTGAACTTGTACAAACGGTAACGTATACCCACTGCCCAATTTAAAAAATCGGATTAGTTACTGGTGATACATACACTAAAGTTGTACTAAGACAAGTGTTTTCCCCACCCCCTTCCTGCTAACAGACTAATATTTGGGGAAACGCTTGCTCTCACACGTCACTATGTTGCTGGTGGCACTGTGAAATTATAGTCTTTTTTACAGTTTGTTTGATAATACATTGCAAGACAAAATATGCCGCTCTCCTTTGACCCCAATAAACAGAGGCATTGGGACATGCTTGAAGGAAATAATTTAAAGGGAGAGAAATAGTATATTCATGAAGATGTGCCTCCCAGCATTATCTGTAATGGTGAAATTAGAACCAAACTAAATATTCTGCAATAAAGGGATAGTTAAGTAAATAATATAGAAGTTGTGAATGGGAAGTAGAAGTGACTATGAAAAAAATGCAAGTACATTGAGATGGAGGAATATGCGATTGCTTTTCCTTTTGAATGGTTTCTTTAATGTCAAAAATCCACACAAAAGTACTTCTCTCATGAGACTATTTCTTCAAGCTTTTTGCAGCAGACTAGGTAAAATAATTGGCTCTTTGAATCTGTTCCAGAGTCACAGCTTTTCTCAGGTTTCCCTTATTTCTATTTTCAGGAGTTCCTATGCATTCCTGGTGATCTCTTATTGTAATATTCAGTCAGCCTTGTTGGCATGGTTTTCAGAATAAAATCATGTGAATTAATGAGTCTTAGCTCTTCAGTTCTCTTACAGAAGTGTTCTTTGAAAGTATGGTTTATGTTAAGATTAAGGTCAGTATTTTCTGTACCGTTTTATGTTTCTAATCTTAGTTGTTTTGTTCTAAGGAGCATTGGTCTTTGTTTTGTTTCCACTTGTTTCTTTAAGGAGTGTCTATATTGAGAACCCCACCTCCTTTAAAATTAAAGCCTAGCAGTCCTGAGCTGTTGCAAGTCCAAATGTCTGCAAAATTGAAAGAGTCATCAACACTCCTTCCACAAACTTCAGAGAAGCCTGACAGGATTGTGATAGTGAAGACAGAAGAGGAAGAGCAGGCCTGTGATCCAGACCCCCGCCTCCACTGGACCAGCTGCCATAGCCCAGAGACCTTCCGCCAGCGGTTCAGGCAGTTTGGCTACCAGGATTCACCTGGGCCCCGGGAGGCTCTGAGCCAGCTTCAGGAACTTTGTCATCTCTGGCTAAGGCCAGAGGTGCACACCAAGGAGCAGATCCTTGAACTGCTGGTGCTAGAGCAGTTTCTGGCCATCCTGCCCAAGGAGCTGCAGGCCTGTGTGCAGAAGCATTGTCCAGAGAGTGGAGAGGAAGCCGTGACCATGCTGGAGGAGCTGGAGAGAGAGCTCGACAGGCCGGCTGAGCAGGTAAGAAGGGCACCTGTAGGGATGAATAGGCCTGGCTGAGTCAGGAGTGTGCTGGCATGTCACTGAGGCTGTATTAGTCTGACTCTGTTACTTATCAAAATACCTGAAACTGGGTAATTTATAAGAAAATGAAGTTTATTTCTTACATTTTTGGAGGCTGGGAAGTCCAAAGTCCAGGGAACATATCTGGTGATGTCCTTGCTCTTGGGTGGTGACTCTCTGCAGCAATGCTGGGTATCACATGGTGAAATGGTTGAGTAAGAGAGGAGAGCTAAGCTTCTTACTAGCTCACGTTTTAAAGCCATCATAACCATGCCCATTACTCCATGAATGAATCAATCCATTCACAAGGGCATAGTCCTCACAATCCAATCACCTCTTTAGGGCCCCACCTTTCAATTACCATAATAGGATTTCCTACCCTCTTAACAGTTACAGTGGGGATTAAGCTTCAATGAATTTTGGGGGGACATTCAATCCACAGCAGGGGTAGAGCTATCAAATTGTATTCCTACTCAGCACAACTGGATATGTAGGCTGGTGAATGTACTCATGGGTGTACCAGAAAATAGAATGTGGCTCTACTTTTTCCCTCCCTTTTCCTGTGTCCAGGATATTTTTTACATACTTTCTTTTCTGTTATTTTATCCTGAAGTCCCAATCTGATTTTCTTCCTTAGCCTCAGTTATACCTGTTTTCAGGTCTTCGTTTTTGGACAAAGAAAGAACGTGGTTACAGAGAAGCTAGCACCTTGGGAAAGCACTGAAGAGTTACCAAGTAGCCAGCTCAAGCCTGTAAAGAAGCAGCTCCAGGGGGCATCATGGGAGCTGCACTCCTTAAGACAGAATGGTGAGGGGGCAGGATTCAGTTCATGGTGGGAGGTGAAGGGGGCTTCTGCTACACATCTGACTGCTTTATGCAGGAGTTCTCAAATTTCCCCTCATCCAGGATTCAGTTCATGGTGGGAGGTGAAGGGGGCTTCTGCTACACATCTGACTGCTTTATGCAGGAGTTCTCAAATTTCCCCTCATCTCCTCACTGTGGGAACTTGCACTGTTATTCGTCGTACTAAATTAACATTCTCAGTATTTTGTTCTCATTTGTTTTTCATAACTTCTTATAAAATCTTCACGTTCAGTTCATGGTGGGAGGTGAAGGGGGCTTCTGCTACACATCTGACTGCTTTATGCAGGAGGTCTCAAATTTCCCCTCATCTCCTCACTGTGGGAACTTGCATTGTTATTCGTCGTACTAAATTAACATTCTCAGTATTTTGTTCTCATTTGTTTTTCATAACTTCTTATAAAATCTTCACATTTTAAATCCTTGACATCATCTCCATGAGGGTTTTCAAACCTTTTTAAGCAGGATGGCTTA